GCCATAAATATTCCAAGATGTTTTTAACAGCGTGTAACTTAAGAACTAATGAATATTTTTATTTGAAAATTGAGAAATACATATTGGACCTGCATTGCTACCATTTGAGGTATACTTCTCATTGTAATACACCATTGCATCTGGGTCAAAAAACCCTTTTATTCAGGTTAACTTTCAAATCATAAGATTTTAAGTATTCCTTAAATATCCTGGTCCAATTATATATTTCAATTTTCAAATAAAAATATTCATTAGTTCCTGACTTACAGGCTATTAAAATATCTTGGAACACCTTGCATAGAGGGTAAGCTAGGCTAAGACTGGCAAACTTCTTATTTATAGTTTCAATTAACTTTTTTGGTATTATAGGTACATATATTTTTTTAAAGTTTCTATCAACATGCATGTGTCCTGAAATTCTCTCTGGGTAATAGGATGTCGAAAGTACGAAAAAAATAATTAGGCGAAAAAGATTGATATGAATTTTTTTTTATTTAAGAAAATCTCCATTTGTTTTGCACATTCGACATTCTGATACCATAGGGGATGCATTTCATAACAAATGTCGATAGAAATCATCCACCTTGAAATGAATCACTCATAGTGACAACACACTGGGAAAGGATCAATTGATAAACAAATAAAACATTAAAAAAATTTATTTCTTGAAGAAACAATCACATTCTTGTGGATGATTATATAACATTGTCAAGGTACAAAAAGAAACATTTTTTTTCCAAATGTTAAAGTAAGTATATCGCTCTAAACAGAATTAACAAACAAATAAAAGAAACTCAATTTTGTAGAAATGGGAGTCCGGTGTATCTGTATTTTTAAATTAAAATTTTATTAATTAATTAAAATATCCTATTTCCAAAGAAAACACAATCTTGTAAGTGGTCCTACCCGGAAATTGAATAACAAAATTCCAGGTAACAGTTGATGATTCAATTATATCGAGATATCAAAATAGCGTTTTGATGTTTCGATATAATTCATCATCAACCCTACCTAAAATTCTACAAATTAATATCCGGCGTTGCCATATATCAAGAGATGTATGAGTTGTTTTTATTTTCTAGTAGGACCACTCATAAATATTAGCGGATGAACACAAATCAAACTAAACGAACATAACACGAAACAAATTAAATGAAGAATTAATTAGCTTATCAAAATCAATTTTCGAGTTTTTTCTTTATTTCATTTATGAATATGCTCATGTTTGGTAATACTACATCATGCTTAGTGTAAATTTCAAAAACAAACTGCTGTATAAATTGCCAAACGGCGATGCTCTCCAACGGATATCTTAAGTTAAAAACATGAAAAATTTTGAAACAACAATCTAGCGCAGGAATTATAGAAAGAAAGTTGTATTTAATTTGGTCGCTGCATACCAGAAATTGTTTCGGTGTCGTAATGTCGTCATCAAATATTACAACTAGAAATGGTTGTATTTTGTTATTGCGACTCTTTTTATCGAGGAGTTTTCCTTCTACTTCATTTATATTCTGTCCCGTCACCATAAATGAATCTTGAGAATCACTTATCGTATATTTTAACAAAGCTTTTCGTGTTCCTACTTTAACGGTTCTTTTTGAAGTCGACACAATAGCACCATGCAGCAAAAACAATATGGAGACATGTTTTCCTTCTGAAATAAAAAATATCGAAATCGTTACCATCAAACAACGTAAAACAAAAAGAAACGTGAAAGTGGCAAGCCTGATAAATATATTAAGAAACTATACCTTCGGTGACAGATCCATTGCCTAATTTTTCAAGAACAGATTTACAATGCTTATCTTTAATTTTGCTTTTGAATAACTCCAGAGCAACGTTCACGAATAAGCCCCATTTTGTATAGATATTAGTAACCTGAGGATATATATTTTCAAAGTCTAAATCAATCTGAAACACATTAACATTTGTTAATAAAGTAAATGATTGATAATTCTACACAATAATACCATGAACAAAAAATACTCACTAAACTACTTCCCATTGGCTGTTTGTATAAGGGTCATTCTGTTAGAATTATTGTTATATTTTCTGATTCGTCATCCAATAAGAAATTTCTTCTAAAATTACCACAGCTTTTCCACAAGATTTTTATCTCATCCCACCTTTCGTACTCTTGCATGAATTTCAGCTTCTCTTTAGTATTAAAAGCGTTTTCCTCTGGTTCCAGATCTGAAAAGATGTGAATTTTGTAATTATATTTATATTTTTATAATTTATACAAATATACCTGGTTTGGAGGTCTCACATTTTCTTTTTCTGATCAAAGGAGCTTCTATGAGACCTATTGATTTTAGTTTTCGCATTTGGTTGTATTATTTTGCCAGAAGTTTCCCTTTGGGAGATTTATTTGTTTGGGGTGCAAAATAGTATTCCTGAAATTTATAAAAATATGTTAAACAATAGCACACATAAAAACTAGAGGAGTTTTACCCTAAATTCGTCTGGAAATAAACATAAAATTTGATCGGATATGGTCTTTGCCAACGACACACTAATTTTCTGGTTGCTTTGAATGAAATAATCGATTATTTTATCGACTAAAATCTGTCGTTGGGGTTCTGGAAGCTCTTTGACATTCAGGTCCATTAATTTCAATATGACTTTCCCTTCGTTATATTTACTTAATACTGATCTAAGGTCGAACTAAAAATATTAATATTTGAATCAATTGCAACAAAATAGTTCTTGTATACCATACCAGTTAAATTATATTTTCTTTATCACTTTCTGTAGAAGCCAAATGGTTAAGTTCTGGATGTTTTTTAACCATTTGGGATGTTTTTTGTGTCATGTCTTCATGTACGTAGGTACCCTAAAAATATCTGTGAATTAGTTCATTATTGATTTAAACAGAAAAGTAATACTTACAATCGATTTTTGCCATTCAAATAAGCAGTGTTCAAATTTAACTTTAATTCCCCAAGGAATATTTTCCAATAAGTAAGGCAACTGATGAACACGGGCATACTTCAGAGATGGTCAACTTTATTAGCTAAAAAAAAAAAAAAAAAATTTTGCGGTAATATTAAAATTCACGACTACCTTTTTTGTATTACCAATCATATGTTCATTCAACATTGACACGTCCCATTGTTTGAGTAGGCCGGCAACGCTTTCTTTACATGGAAGCTGATTTTGCAGATCAGTTGGTATACTTTCTTCAGTTTGCGCTTCAGACTGATTTTCAGTGAGCAGCTGATTAATTGATTCATTTGCATTATATTTGTTATTAGATATATCACTAACCATATGAGTCTCCGGGTCGAGTTATTAAGTACATCGAATACTTCAGATAATACTCTGTCTGTTCCAACGATTTGCCAGCTAGACATATCGCTGGCAGGAGACTCCATTTCACGTGAATTTTTAAAACTAGGTATCAGAGTAGTTTTACATTGACGTTTCCAAAGCAACAGCTTGTCTGTAGATATGTACATTATTTAGTTAGCAATTATGAATAAAATATTGTGTTTCATTATTTTCTACAGTATGAATTTGCAACTGTGTTAGGCCGTCTTTTGTTCATTTTGATTAAATATGAAAAACACGTTTCCGGATAACGGAACTAATATTGCAAGCTATACACTTATACAGTGCTTTTTTTTAACATTGCCCATAGAATTTTACATCTTAATATTTGGACGAAAAAAAAAGTAGTACCAAAAAGGAATGGAACCGATTTTAACGCATATTATATACTGTTGAATGGTTACTAAGAAACGAATTTTCAGAAGTACACATGTAAAAGTCAGTTCGATTCCCCATCTTTTTTCTTTCTAGTTTAATAATTTACCAACAAATAAATAAATGTAAAGCATTTTCTAGTAGATATTTTACCCCTTATTTGTAACTAATATAAATGGTTCATTTAATATGTTCCACAAAAAAGATTAACATGGGGATAAAATATTAACATGTAAAATCCTATGGCCAATGTTAAAAAAATCACTGTACTTATATACAGTGTATCTCAAATGTAACGGGACATTCTGCTATACTTGTAAACGGTATAATTTAAAAATAAAAAAATGTATTTGGTCAATTTCTATCAAACTTATTTTTACGCTTCATAAATTAAGTTCACTCCTAGATTATATACTAAACAAAGTATTCTTTTAATCTCACGAGTTTCTTACCATTTGCTGTAATATTCGCATGAACAGGTGGCCCTGAAATGTATTCTTTGAATTTTACTGTTTTTGTTAATGATAGACTTGAGTGATTTAATTCGTAAGCAGAAAAATGAATATTATAATGAGACTCAATTTCTTCACAAATAATATAAACATCTTTATTGGAAGTTATCACAAACTCAATAATTTTATAAATAAATTCCCTTTCAAAAAATTTTGAGAAGAGATCATTTTTTTTGTAGGATACATACATACATTTGAGTTCAGTGTAAAATGCAATAATTGTCTCATCTTTTAGGACATTACCAACGAAATTTCTATAATTGGATTCTATTTTATTTTGGCTTGAGAAAGAGAAATCATCCAATATTACACTATTCAGCAGTTGGTGTGCAAATTTCAGTTGATATTTATTTGATAAGGTAATGGGAATATTTGAATTTGTTACAATGGCATACCTTTTAAATTCTTTATGTTTACTTTCAAATGTGAAGGACCAATAATATCTGGGTGGACCAGATTGTCTGATAACCGTAGGATAATGTAAAAGAAAATGATGTTTGGGTTTCAGGGTGTCATGAAAAAATCTGCAGTACATATCTAGATGACGTCCAATTAGTAATTGTAAACGATTCAAACATTCTGAAGATATATTATATGAAAGCAGTATATCGATAATTTCTAAGAATTCCAAAAAAAAACTGCCAGACATCATGGTTTTCAGGTACCAGATCACCTACAATTAAAGGAAAAAAATGAACAAAACACATCATCTCTCTTGCAGACATCTTGAAATGACGTTTCTTTAGATGTTGTGTTTCAATTTGTGGAGAAATATTTCCAATTTCTGTTCGACCATAATCAAAATATTATTTTCTAAGATTGAGTTGCTCTAAAGTAAAACATTTATCAATTTCTATAAAATGAATGATTATTTGGCTTAAGTTATAGTGACATATTCCCTCAAAGATATCATGCATAATATCGACAGCAAAGTTGTTGACAACATGAAATGAACAAATTTTATTCAGCACTGAATTTTCTCTTAAACCAGTTTGGGATACATCACCTTATTGAATATCATTTATATAATTTTGTTCATTTCTCAATATTGAATCATGACATGTATTACTGTAGTGACATGTGTTCTTATGCATTTTACAAAATCTACAAAAATAGTTAGCGTTGAAACTTGTTGTAAATCCTAATATAGAATTGAGTCCCAAGTTATCTCCCAAAACAAGACCTAGAACAAAGTACACCGTAACATTACCAGACTTTGTGCTTAATGTAACACCTTCTCTTTGTAAACCATTCAATTCGTTTATAAGATCTTCAAGACATTTATTATTGCCAAATGTTTTTACATCACTGGCTTTGAAAATACCAGCCAGAAATATATCATTCAGCTTAGAATTAGATTTTTTGAATAAGGGAAAAGAATAATATATCGCTGTCATGGAGTGGCTAGTTGCATGACTTCCAAGCGGATTATTAATCTCAAAATCGTCTAAATACAAAAAATATGGCAAAACAATTTTATCCTTGAAAGTTTTAATTTTTTCAAGCCATAATTTTCCTTGAGTAAAACAACCAATTGTATTATTGCTTGCATTAACCTTGGCAAAGTATACACATTTATCCAAATTATATATTTTTTCAAAAATTTGTTTGAACTGAAAGCTAAGTGGCAATACTACTCCTGTGTTATGTTTTTCACCGTAAGCTAATTCACCTTTTTTATTAATAGGAACAATTTCTGTATTTATGATAACTTTTAGGTTGTCTTCTGAGAATTCACACTGTTTTAATAACGAATTTAATTTAAAATCTGTTTTGCACAATTCAAATGGATTCTTCAGCTTATTCAAGAGTTCATTTATATCAAGATACTTTTTCTTAAAGTCTGGAATACGCTGTATCAATAAAAGTTGAATTAATTCCATTGTTGAGTCTGTGATCAACTCTGTAACATTATCCTGAATAGTACGGACATCTTTTTTAGTGAGATTATTTGTATTGTGAAAACTTAGAGTGAAATTCAGAGCAGAATTTTTAATATTTCTTAAACATTCACTAATATCTACATTGTCATTTTTGTTAGTTTCCAAAAGTATACTGTTTTCAAATGAAATTTTATTGACGCGAGTGTCATGGAATGCTCGACTTTCATTAGAATCAGTCTTTTCCAATATACTTGAAATATCACTCGAAGTACTTGCTAAAACAATCTCATTATTATCAACATGTTTTTTCTGAACATGTCTTTTGAAACTACTTAAATTGGGAAATGACTGTGAACATTTATCCTCTGAACAAATTATTTTATTATTTGTATTCAAACCGTGTACTAGTTTGAAGTGTCTTATCAGAGTATATAAATCACAGAAAGCTTTTTTACAACAGAAACAAATCATAATTGCTAACTACGTTGTACCTACCCCAGTTTCACAAAAAGTTGAATGATTCTAACGATTTCTTGGAAAATTATTCTGTCCCTCAAACAAATCGCTGGTTCTTCAGAACAGGAAGCTCGGATATGGTGGGAATTCAACAATACAAATGTTTCAAAGGTAAATTTGTTAGCTGAATAAATAACATTCATAATATCAGTCCATAATGTCAACAGTGACAAATGTTTATTTTATTCCTCGATCTATACCCTACGAACAAATTCAAGCACAAAGTATGATATATTAATAAAATCGGCTCTTTAAAGATAATTTAAGCAGTTGGTGTGTTAGCACACATGGTACTTCCCCACAAAGTGTGGCTATTAGTGTAGAAGTATTAATCGAAATGTACCTTTAATTTTTTTATTTTAAAATCGTTTTTTGAGGCGTATCTATCTCACTGATTTAGAAAGGTGTCCATTACCAATCTACGAAACTAATATTTGCCAAATAACTTTTTTATATCATCTTGTTCCACCGATCTCCGTCCCGTTCATGTTGGGCCACCCTGTACATGATTATTTTTTAGTAAAATAAACGTTATAATTATGACCCGCAATAAATACAGTTATCAGTTAAACAAATAATAATACAACAAAATTGTTCCCTACTGTATTTTTAAACTATTTATAATTTATTGACAATAAAATATCCTTAACTCATGCCGCTCAGTTTATTTTGATGGGCTCTTAAATGCGTTAATCAGGTAGGTCTTTATTAAAATAGATAGGCATGTACTTACCAACACATTTACTTGTCAATCTTTTCACTTCCACAATACCACTTTTTTGAAACAAGGTTTTCAATTTCCTAGAAGTCAAATGTTTTGTAATTTTCACTTTATTTGGCTTCAAGTTCGATATAACCATCTCGTAACCACATAAGAAATGACCGGGATTCGCGAGTTTGTTTTCGCGTTTGTTTTCGCTTACAGTGTTTATTGTTAATTTGAAAGAAGTATTGTTGCGTGAACAGTTATATTATGCATTTAATAGTCGCTAGACTAAATAATATGGGAATAATGTTATGATAGGAACGTCATATTGTTAATATGATAGTAATATTATGATCTCAAAACATATTACTGTAAATACCATTTGTCTTCGAAATAACAATAGACTGCACAGGTAACAGTTTGTTTGTAAGGGTAATAGAATCCAATGATTAGCCAATAAAAAATTATTATTCTTTTTACATTGTTACTATTAAGTGAATAATTGATGATCCGTTCAGTAAACGATTTTCCTATCAACTTTTTATCATAAATTCGTGTTATATTAACAAAAAATTTCGTTATGTATAATCTATTTCTGTATCTGTAAAAGAAATTAATTTGTTCTGGAAACAAAAACAGACTTTGGGATTATCTTATATGTTTTATTGTAATGACAATTATTTCTCATTATCGTCACAATTTCATGTTATCTTAACAAATTTTATACCTTAATCGGTTTACAGGAGTACTCCTGTTATCTGTGCAAGGGTAATTTTCTGAGTGAAGATGTTGAAAAGAATAAACTTTTTTTTCTATAAATATGAACCATAAATAAATAAATTAGATCCTAAAAAAAATATATTTTATTTTAATACAAAAACCAAAATAAACAATGAAATAAAAATGTCTTTTCGTTGGCTTTACATAGCACCAAAATTTCGAGGTGCGTCGACTATGCCTGCAAACAAAAATAATCGTGCACCAGACGAAGAAAGGCAAGTGTTAAATTGTAGGTTTTTCTTATGTTGGATATTCATTGCTAATTTGTAATGTCAAAGAAGGCAGCAAAGCACCTAGGCAATTTTGAGTTGAAACCTATGCCATATTTTTATGCTATTTTAAAGCCATTGTTATGTTACTAGTTTTTGCAAAAATCAAGGTGTTCTGCTAGCTTCGAACGAAGTCAGCAGAGCACTTCAGTTTTTTAAGTTTTTTCCAAAAATAACGACACAATATTTTTAGGCCATTTTTAGGCTCTTAAAATATTATTTTAAAAAAATAAAGGGTGTATTTTTTAAAAAAACACTATTTTTTTCGAAAAGTTTTATAATATTTTAAGAGCCTAAAAATATGTGACATAAGTAGATGTTTCCCGGAAAAAATAAGCTGATGTGGTCTGCTAACTTTCCAGCAAAGCACCCTGTATTATTTAAAAATAGCAATTTCTAGTAAAGTTTTAAAATATTACAAGAGCCTTAAAATAGTCTAAAAATGCAGTGTGATTATTTTTAGAAAAAAAGCTTTAAAAAACCAAGGTGCTCTGCTGATTTTGTTCCAACAAAGCCCTCTGTATTATTTATAAATAGCAATTTTTTAGTAAAGTTTTATAATATTTTAGGAGCCTAAAAATGCATTGTGGTTGTTTTTAGAAAAAAAGCTTTAAAAAACCGAGGTGCTCTGCTGGCTTCCTTTGAAGCTAGCAGAGAACCTTAATTTTTGTAAAAAACGAGAAGCATAAAGTTTTTGAATAGGGTGTAAAAATAGCCTAAAAATATGGCATAGGTTTCAACTCAAAATTGTATAGATGCTCTACTGCCTTTTTTGACATTACTTTGTAGATTCTTACGTTTATCTTTTAAATATTAACAATCGGTCTTCAGTCTCGAGTCTGTTTCAGTTTACACTTCGCGATAAGTCAAAGCGTGAGTCGACCGTTCGCGCTGGCGTAGTCTGGTCTCTAAAAGGATCCGAGACTAATATTGGTGATTCGAATACGAATCCTTAAGAATTTTCTCGGCGAATCCGGATCACGGATCCTTTTTTTCTTAAGTATTCGAATACCGCTCGCGGATCCTCAAAAAGGATTCGAATCCCAGCATTCGAATCCTATGTGATTCGAATCCCAGCATTCGAATCCTATGTGATTCGAATCCTCCCCAGCTATGCTAGGGGCTAATGTGACAAAACGTTTCATATATGGAATAAGAGACACATTAGCCAGGTAAAATTGTGCTTCATTTTTAGGTCACGCTGTATATTTTACGCACATATATTATGTACTTTATACAAGATATTTTTGATTTTTTTATTCTAAGGTTTTTCATTTTTACTAAAATGAATTCCGAATGTTTTTGACTTCTTGTTCTGGTGTGATTGTATTACAAATTTGTATTCTTATGTTATGTTTTAGCAGTAATACTTTATTTGTTCTTTATATTTTAATTTGTAGGTATCAACCTTTTTTATAAAATTCTAGGTATTCTAATAACACACTTTTTACCTACCATTTTTTATTTTAAGTTATATTTAAACAATAATTTTCAATGGTTTTATTCTAATCTATTTTTTATTTGTTGAATCCATGCATGAACAATTATGCATATATGCATTTGTTTCAAAAATTGTGATGATTGGGAAGTTAATAAATTATGAAGGGTAAACATAATTTTTCTATATTCGTTAACAAAATTAAACATTATTTAATTGATATTACTGAGCAAATCGGCATATTTAATCACAAGTAAGCAAAGTAAATTAGTGTATATATGGTTGAATTCTTGGGACAATAATAAAGTTTTATGAGGAATTATATAAGTGCTTTATAATTACAGATAAATATTCTACAAATTTATGTTTTGGTCTTTCATGTTAGTATATGTTTTAGAATCTTTCAGTTTTATATTTTAGGCAAATGTGCCAGTAAATAAACCTTAAATTTGGATAAATAAAAAAACAATATTTAAAATATTTTATAAAAATTTATTCACTTTCGTCAAATAAAATTTGTAATATTTGTTTTCTTTTTTTTTTGCTTCCTCTTCACTCATTTTGTGGAGTTCTTCGTAAACGTATGCCACAAATGTGCTGTTTACATTTTGCTCTTTTTTGCTTAATCTTTCCATTATGGAATTGGCAGCCCCAACAATTGGTCCAACCTCCCCGACAATATCTTGGGCCCTTCTTATCTTTTTGTCATGTCCTGAAAAACCAACATATTTACATAAGAGAAAATATTTAATAGGAAGAGGTATTTTAATTTAGAATAAAAGAATCCAAAGAATTCTTACCAAAGGCTGAAAGAGGGGACCCACCAACAACTGGGGTGTTTGGTGTCTTCGAGGCTCCTGGGGCTTCTGTTGTGTTATTTACTCTTCTAGGGGCTTCAGCTGAGGTATTTGCCCTTTTGGAGGGTCCTGGGGTTTCCCCATCTTCTACCACCTCAGTTGGGGACATAATTTGACCATATGAACTTCAGACTGATGAAGAGAAGGAAGGCCTACTTTCCCCCGACAACTGGCTCGATGGTCTCCTGCCTTCTTTTTTTGTTGTAAACTCAAACAAATAATGATTGAGAGTGAAAGCAGGTAGAAATACGACCAAATCGGAGGCGTGCTTATTATTTTTGAGAGGGTACAATTATTTAAAATATTCATACAATTTCTTTTATTTATTTCATGAAAACTTTGCAATATCGTAATTTACCTAATCGTTGTAGTCATTAGTGGGGCTTTATGAAAACGGAGTAATAATTGTGGTAATTATAGTAGGAACCAAATAAATTAAGAATATTAATAAAAATCACAATATATATTTCAAATTAAAAATAAGAAAGATACCTAATCAGGGATTGGTTTGGTGACAGAAACAATATTATCAATTTTACTATTTTAATAATGAATTTAACTTTATTTCACAAATTAACGTATATTTATATATTATGTCGCGGCCGAAGTCAGTAAGGAACTGTCTCTTAAGTTTCTTCGTGGGTTACACATACATAAGTATTACTTAAATTTTAAATTAAAATCGTAATGACGGATATTGCATATCCAATGCAATTGATATTTTTATTTTGTTTTGTTTAGTTATTTTTAAATTTTTATATTTTTTAATCTTTTTATATTATATTTAGTTTTTAATTTACTTCGCTTTGTCTATAAAATTTTTGTAATTTTTCAATGACAATAAAGCATACCTCTATATATATATATATATCTCTCTCTCTCTCCCGGTTTACCTGCAGTTCCTC